ACGTTCTTTGAGTGCGTCATACACCTCGTGAACGCTTATCTTGAAAAGGAACAAAATAGTACATTGTTGATCGTCACGGGTTGCACGACTCGTATAAAATGTGCGGGACATCAAATCACCAAAGCAAAATCTTACCTATGCATCCTCCCGTTGTATAGTGCAAATGTGTTGAAAACATACAAGTCCATTATACAAGTGTACTAAGTAGCATATGTGCATATCCTTGATCATACAAATATGCTTTGTACATACACAATGATCATGTAATTATGCAAATACATTGAGATTCTTGCAAGTGCATCATACAAGCATACTACGGAATATGCAAATACATATGCAAGCACCTAAATATACATACATACAACATGCATGTGTATTATGCACGCATTCTAGGCAACATGCCAATGCATCATGCAGGCACCATGCAACATATAAAATATCATGCAACTATTTTAGGTAGTGTGCAAGTGCATATGCAAGCATACAAGTAAACATAAAAACATGCAAATGCATATGCAAACATGCCAGCATACAAACAAATACGTGAAGGAGTATGCCAACATGCAAATATGTTATATACATCCATTGTGTCGCTTGCATAGACGCGGTACAATGTGCAAAATGTATTATGTAAATACAATGAAATGCATGCATCACATTTGACATATATTTGAATTACTTACATGGGCTTCGACAAGTACTAAGAACAAGCGTGACTCCCAAAATATTGCGTGTGCTATAAAAATGATAAATAGATTCTAAGACTATTGAAATGTACACATTATTATTTAAAATAAAATTTAAACTATTTGCATGGGCCCCATCAAACGCAATAAGTACATTAGCATGACGTCTGAGGATACTCCATGGATTGAAAAATAATAAATTAGTTTTAAATTTATCACCCTGAAACGTGTGCAAACATATTATGCAAATGCACCATCATGCACACATATTACTTAAAATGAAATTTAAACACTTGTATGTGCTCCGATAAGTGCGTTACACTCCTAAACCCTTGTTTGAGAATGTTGTGCATGTCAAAATTGAAACTAAATTCAAGTTCAATCCTCCTTAAATGGACCGGAGTTGATAGGACTTGAACAAATGAACAAATATACTGTCGTAACATCAACTAGAGTATTTGGTTTTATACGTTCACATTAAACTTTCAAGGCCTTTTATGAGAAATATTTACCCAATAAAATATAAATTATCCAAACTAATGCTTCTTAAATTAACCAGAGTATTTGATTTTATATATTCACATTAGGTATTCAAGGCCTCTTATAAGAAAGGCTCGCTCATTAAAAGCATAGGCTCCTGGAACTGAATCTCATTGAATTTATCAAAGTATTTTATTTATACGTTCATATTAGGCATTCAAGATCTTTTATGAAGAAAATTCTCATATTAAATACGGACCATCAATCCTGTTACTTGTACAAAAACTCTGAAAATTAATTGTCAAATGTGATCCTCTGTTGCGAGCAAATAGAGTCGACAGGTTCGACAGATGAAATGAAATATAAATTTTTGTTGGAGGGCTTTATTTAAATTTCAAATAAATACCCCAAATGACAAAGTTTATGATTAGGGGGCTCAAATCCCAGTTAAAACTTAAAGTTTGATGATTATCAAAATATAAATTTTAAATGAAATTAAACACCTATATATTTAAAGTAATAATACACCCATCTTCTTTGACAGTTTGCCGAGGTGGATAAATATGAAAATTATCCAAGCTCACAAAAAGCAAATACCCAATCGAGAATATAACTAAGATTCATTCTCAAATCATCTCTTGCCAGTAAGGATATGACACATGTCTTCTAACAGATGGTTTCGCCGACAAATGACACCCCTGGTAAATGATTATTACTGGGGTCTTCTAACTGAGTGGCTTTGTCATCAAATAGTACCACTAAATTACGGTCACGGTCAGAGCCCGTATGTTCCATAATGACTCTAATCTTTTAGTAATGAATCAATAGGGTATAATCGATATGGCATAAAACCATTTGTTAGTTAACGAGGACTCAAATTTGTCCCTAAACCCTAAACCCTATAATTTGAGACCATATTACTACGGTTGCAACCATGTCAGCGCCAATGCGCCAAAGACAAACATTCACCCCAAGTTTACAAGGTATCTTTGGATGAAATAACATATGGCTGCTGACAAAGATCCTTCAATCAAGTTGGTCAACTACCTCCTCTGACTAAGTAGACTAGGAACCAGGACATCACTTAGAAGTTGTGGACATGTAGGTGAATTAGGTAATTGCTAAATTAGGGTTAATTGTAGGCAACTCTTTTGAAAAATATAGTATGTGTTCCTGTTGACTCTAAAAAAATATATATATAACAAAAAAAAAACAATTCAAAGCATTAACCGCCTCTACCGGCCCTACTTCGCCAAACCAGACACCTCTTCGGAGACACGACAATTCAAAATAATAAAAGGACGAAATTCAGAAGAAGAAAAAAAAAAGGGGCGCTCTCGTTCCTATCCGACTTCATCGTTTCGCAGGAGCATCTAGGGTTCGCCCTTCATCTCCTCTTTTTGTTGT